CATGGGACTACTTCCATTTCAGTGTCTTAGCACCATAGTAGTAACTGTGAAAGCAAATTTTCTGTAATTGAACTGATAGATACATGTCTAATGTAGGACTTACATTTAATGTTGAATATATTTATTGATGCCTTTCTAACTTCATATCTAGAAGCCCAGGTAACAGTCAAGATCGTAATCCAACAAGGCTGTTTACACTTGTGAAAGTCTGAAGTTTGGGATAGAGGTTAAGACTCTCATCAGAATGTCTAGATCCTGGCTCCATTCTGGATTCCAGCTTTCTCTTAATGCTCACCCTGGAGGCAGTGGTGATAGCTCAAGTGGTTGGGTCCCTGCCGCCCATGTGAGAACCCTGGGTAGAGTTCAGTGTTACAGCGTCAGTCCCCTCATCACTGTGGGCATCTGGGGAGTAAGTCAGCTAATGGGAGCTGTCTGTGTCTGCTTAGGCCTCTCTGCCTTCCAAATCCATCCTGGGGTAGGTAGTGAAGTAGATCGCATGGAGGAAAAGGAAGAAAAGGGTAATGTTTAAAGAACAGATGCATTGAAACCAAGAGAATTGGTCATTTTTGGTTTGATTTATAAAACTGCACTTTCCCCCATTGTTTACCAGACTTAAATTCCAGATTTTCTATTTAAAGGTGGCAATCCAAATTTGGTTGTCATTTAAATAGTGTCTGTGGAACCCTACTTACATTTTCTTAAATCTTAAATGTAAATATTTCTGTTATAAGCAGAGGCCTGTGAAGTCGAGTGTTTTATGTTGTCACTAACTTTTATTAAAAGAAAAGATTTGTTTGATCATCTGCACCATAACAAGACAACTGTAGCTTTTTGCTTGTTGTAGGTCATTACTGTACCCAGAGATGATTTTAGGCTGTGAGTTTAAGGTTTTCCTTAAAAATGCCTTTTTTATAAACTTAATCTTCAATATCACTATCTAAGATTTCATCAGTTAAATATTTCTGAGTGTTATTAATATGGCTAGAAGTATAATTTTTTACAGTGAGTAGGCATGGAAATACTTCTATGTGAGTCACTCAATTTTTCCCCCTGTTTTGTATATGATTTTTAAAACTCTGGCAACAGAGGCTGGTAGGGTGGTGCAGCGGGTTAAGCCTCTGTGATGCTGCCTTCTCATATCAGAGTGCTGATTCACTTCCGGGCCACTCTGCTCCCTATCCAGCTCCCTGCTATTGCACCAGGGAAAGCAATGGAGGATGGCCCAATTTCTTGGGCTCCTGCACCCATGTGGGAGATCTGAAAGGAGTTCTGGGCTCTTGATTATGATAGCCAATTCAGAGTGAACCAACAGATGGAAGATCTTTCTGTCTCTCCCTCCCTCCCTCTGTTGCTCTGCCTTTCAAATAAATAAACACGTAAATCTTAAAAGAAAAAAAAAAACTGCAACAACAGATCTGCCAACAACTAAAGCCCTTGGAATTCCTTAAAGAGGGTTCCCTAGATGGTCTTTCTGGCTTGCAGGTTGTTTATTGAAGTCTCAGCCTATCTTTCTGCCTTTTGGCATCTCCTGTGTGGTTCCTCTTGGCAGGTTTATGGTACACACATCTGATTTTTGGGTTTCCATTTCATGCCTCATTGAAGGCTTTCCATATGGGAGAAAAAAGGTGATGATAACTTCTGTATGATGTAGCTATTGACCATTACACAATTCTATACTTGAGTTAGAAAACCAATAAAGCAAGGACCAGACTCACTAAGGAGATTCTTCCCACTATGGTTTCTTTGCCAGTTCCAAGATGGATAATTTACATCTTATTGGCTTGAATGTTGTCATTGTTTTCCCCTGACCACCTCTGCTTTCATAAAAGCTACACTGTGCTAACCCTCAGATACAAAATGTGCTGCTTTTGTAAATCCTGTATAGCAGTAACCTTAACTTAGAAGAGGAGTTGTCAATCTGTTTGTTTTAAAGTTACTTTCAAAATTTTAATATTCCTTTTTTTCTGAGTATATAAGAAGCACATAAAATGAAAAAGCTTGGCATTTATTCAGCATGTAGATTCAGCCTTTGACCTGTGGGATCAAAGCATTTGTTTATAGCCTGATGTTCCCATATCCCCTGCTCTGACGTTGACAAGCTATTTGTGACTAATGGAAATGAACTTAACAGTAGCACCTACTTGGCAGATTTGTGTTCAGTAAATAGCATCTGTCATCATTATTAAGATTATTGTCATTCTAGTGGTAGAAGACTTACTTGTTCTCTATGGCACCTTTGCAGAATAATCTATCCATGACTTGTTACTATTCCAGGACTAGATATCTTCATAGATGCTGGATGCTTTCATTTTTGTAGTATTTTTCTACTCACCAAAGTAAACATATTGATTGCTTCAGTGGCACACATTTTCCTCCTATTGGACAATATTTTTAAAACAGTTTACCAAGTAGTCATATGTGGATCTTCCCAAACCCTTTACACAATTTCTTAAGTCTTTATAATACTGGTGTGACAACTTTTTAAAAAGGATTTTTCTCCCAATACACATTTCTTGGTTATACTCTTTGGTTTTCCCCAGACATGCTATGCCTTTTGTGTGTCCCTGTTTTTGTATTTCTATATATTAGGAGAAGCATTTTTTTTAGGTCAGAGGTCTGTTTTGCTGGATCATAGGAATGTATGTTTTAACCACATAAGGATGGGCTCAACAAAATTTCCTTCAAAAAATATTGGATTTCTTACACACTGTTCAATCCTGAACCATTGTAAATGCTTGGTGCTACCAGCCATATCATTTTGCTAATTTAGTAAGTAAATATTTTTCTTAAAATAATTTTTTATTACTAGGGAGCCAATTTGATGTCTGTATGTTTGATTATATGTTTTATTTAACATTTCCTCACAGACTTTTTTCCTTTCCTTATGGTATATGAGGGAACTTAAGACTCTAAAAAGAAATAATTAAAATTTTTATTTATTTTATATCTTAAATGAAAGGCAGGGAGAAAGGAAAGGGTGATTGGAGAATGCAGAAATTATCTATCTGCTGGTTCACTCCCCAAATGACCCAACAGCCAGAGCAGGGTCAAGGCTGAAACCAAGAGCCCAGAACTCAGTCCAGGTCTCCCACATGGGTAACCGGGACCTAAGTGCTTGAGCCCTCCTGTTTCCTGCTAGGGGGTGCATTAGGAGGAAGTTGGATCAGAAGTGACGCTCCTGGAACTTGTACCAGTCCCTATGATAGGGTATGTGAACTTCCCAAGTGGTGTCTTAAATGCTGTGCCAAAAGCCCAACCCTTCTGTTAACCTATTATTGAAAAAACTAAAGTCATGGGCAGATGTTTGGCAGAACAGTTAAGTTGCCTGCATCCTATATTGGATTGCCTGAATTTGAGTTCTGTTTCTGCTCTGATTTTAGCTTCCGATTGATGTGTATCATAGACGCAACAGTTGATGACCCATATACTTGTTTCCCTACTACCAATCTATGAGACCAGGATTGAGCTCCAGACTCCTGGCTTCAAACTGGTCCAACCGTGGGACCAGTTTGACAGAAGTTTAATGGAAGATCTTCTAACCAACCAAAAAGTGGAAGATGTTTCTCTGTCAGTGCCTATCTGTCTCTCTGCCTTTCAACTAAAACAAATAATAGAAAGGAAAAGAAACCAGTATTATTATTACATGTAATTATACACACACACACACACACACACACAGCAGCAGCCTAGGAATGGGCCCGGCCAAAGCAGGAGCTTTATCCGGGTCTCCCATGTGAGTGGTAGGGGCCCGACGACTTGGACCATCTTCTGTAGCTTTCCCAGATGTTTTAGCAGGCAGCTGGATTGGAAGTGGAGCAGCCAGGACTTGAACCAGCACTCACAGGGGTTCTGCTGTCACATGGTGGCAGCTTAACCCACTGCACCGGAATGCTGGCCCTACATATATTATTTCTTATAATTATTTTGTGAGATTGATACTATAATTATTATATCCTTTTGACAGATGGAGAAATCATGGCATGCAGAGTTTAGTAAGTTGCCACAGTTAGTCCAGATAGAAAGTGACGTAGTCAGTAGTCAAGACTTGGTTCTAGAACCTTCATACTGGATCATTTACTGGGTTATGCAGTTGGATGTGGGTTCCTTGAACATCTCACCTGGCAGCTTTCCAATAGAAGGCATCCTTGGCATTCTGCTGTTAGGCTTCATCTGCCTTCTTGACCTTGCTTCTGTCCATGAGCTCCCTTAGTTTTGCATTGTCTCGCCCATATTCTATCTGACCAGTAGCTTGGGCAGCCATTCTGTTCTGTTTCTTGAGCTTCTCATTTCTTCAATGAGTCCAGAACAACGACGCTATTGTGATGGGCAACTTGTCAGAATGAGCAAATGTATCACAGGATTCCAGAACTGAAATCACCTTTCTTACCAACTGCATGAAGGGTGACATATTGTGATTTTAAATATAAATTGAGCTCTTTGTAGTGTCTGTCTCTAATATTAGTTGAATAATTATCATATCCCATGTTCAAGTATCACATTGAAAGATTACTGAAATGAAATTTGGTTTATTGTCACATTAATTTTATGGTATGTTATTTCTAAATAATATGCGAGTTATTTAAAAAGTTCATGAAATGTGTATTATGAAAAAGCTATGTGTGGATATCAAAACTTTTTGTACCAGTAAGCTCATGGTTTAATTCCATTGCTCCATGATATTTTTCAAGTGCCTTCCCTCCATGTATCAGGAATGACTGATAGGAGATGTTTTCCCAGTTCTGAGTTTTCTTACTTTTCAAAACTGTTTGTCTTCAACTATGCTCTACTCCTCTCCAAGTTATAGCACTAAAAAATGTGTCATGAACACACTAAGAGTGGCAGCGAGGCCAGTTTTAGCAGAATTTAAAGTAGAAATGTAACTTGAATTTTACTGAACGGTCAACTCAGGTTGATTTTCAGGGAAAAAGCCCATTTGAATTGTGCGTGCTTCCAGCCTCAGGCCCGCGCTGCCCTGACGTGGTCTTGGTTTTGTGTCTCAGTCTTCAGGAACCAGTATCACTGTGGACATAGCTGTGATGGGTGAGGCTCACGGGCTCATTACTGACCTCCTGGCAGACCCCTCTTTGCCACCGAATGTATGCACGTCCTTGCGGGCAGTAAGCAACCTGCTCAGCACGCAGCTCACCTTCCAGGCAGTACACAAGCCCCGGCTGAACCCTGTCATTGCCTTCAGTGAAAACTATACCTGTTCTGACTCTGAAGAAAGCGCTGACAAAGACAAGCTGGCTATTCCCAAGGTGAGTGCTGATGACATCCCTGTGGAGTGTCCCTTTCTCTTGTAATTGTCTTCCCCCAAACCCGCCTGCATTCATAGCAGCTGGTGGGGAATATACATTGATCACAGTGCAAAAGCAATATAAATGTAAACATAAAGGCTTCTGTCCCTACTCTTGATAGCTTTCTGTAAGTAGAAAATGCAGCTTTTTTTTTTTATTACCTTGTTTATTGAAGCTCTCAAGAAATTCTTAGTTGATGCCTCTGCATACCAGGCTATATTCTCGATGATAAGGATATTGAAGCCAAAAATACCAGGCAATAATCTCTCTCCATTCAAATGTAGCTTCTGTTTAAACCTATCGACCTCTGAAACTCAAAGGCTTTCTGCTCTTTGCTTACTGTGAAATCATTCAAAATACCTTCATGGCTTTCTCAAACATGTCAAGGTTAGCACTCAGAGCAGTTTTAGTTAATTGTAGATTACTTACAGTAAAAGATGACCGTAGTGATTTATATAGATTCATACCTTATAATTTGAGCATCCCTAATTTGAAAAACTCTGAAATCTGAAACTCTTCACCTTAGATATCCCATTCCAAAAATTCAGAATTTTGGATTTTTAAAAAAGGCTACTGAAGTGGTAAGTTTGATGAAAATATTCTTTGAAAAAAAAAAAAAAAACCTCGCCAATCTGAAACAATTTTGGTCTCATGCATTTCAGGTAAGAAATACTCAACCTGTATAAGATACAAAGTATATAAAAGTTGTTGAGATTAGGATCCTGTCCCAAGTTCAGTTGTTAGTGTTAGATGCAAATAAGTAGTATTAAAGACTAAAGTGTTCAGGTTCCCACCCCCACACGTTGTTTAGTTAGAAGTAGCTGTCCGTTAGAGCTGGAGGTCTGTCCATGACACTCACGCCCCTGCTGTGGTTTGTCTCTTGACCAAGGAGTGTGGTCTCCATATTTTTATCAACTAAGTATTTACATACCTTCCTTCAGACTTCCACTTTCTTGGAAAAGGTGTTCCTAAGAATGATATAACACTAAAGACATGTAGAAAGATGCAACTCATTCTCTTTAGGTCTTGAAAAGCAGACCTGAGGTCAGTGGCAGACTTTAGGAAGACATCTGTATTTACCAGTGTTTGACTCACTACTGAGTTACCTTCTGAGAAGCCCATTCACATCTTCGGGAGACACTGGAAACTATGTAATATTAGAGCTATTCTTGAACTCAAGGTGCTGTACATATCTCAAAGTTCATACCGTCTTAGGAAGGCAGAATGCATCTTTGTAAACTGCCTACACAGTTGGTTTAGGAGGAATAATTAGCCCCAAATAAAATGAGATTGAGATTCTACCTATTATGACTGCTGGTGATGTTATGTTAGGAGAGTCCCCTCACTTTAATTTGAGGGTGAAGATCGCATACTGCTGTCTCACTGCCTATGCTGTGTTTCACTCTTACAATGAGAGAAGTAATCCAGAAAAGCAACAGTAAGTTGCCAAGGTCTTCATTTAAGAGGATGTGATACTGATTATATTTCCTCTATCTCACGATGTGTGAGTCATAGTTTCCAAAAGAGAGTGGTGCATTCAGTGAAAAAGAGACATTCCTAAACTTATCTCCTATCACTTGTCTACCAAGATAGTATTGGTGCATGATACTATCAGTGCACGATACTTGGGAGTATGGACTGTTGAACAAGGTGATGTAAATTAATCCATGCAGGTGACTTTTGTGGAAAAATCTTTGTTCATAATAAGTAATACAGTATGTGTGTATAGGTGAATTATGAAGTTATCCTAGAGGTAATAAGTAACTCTTGTTCCTATAATTCCATATTTGTGAAAGCTTTGAAAATAAGACTCCCTAGATGATATTATTATTATTATTTATTATTATTATTATTATTTGACAGGCAGAGTGGACAGTGAAAGAGACAGAGAGAAAGGACTTCCTTTTGCTGTTGGTTCACCCTCCAATGGCCGGTGCGGCCGGCGTGCTACAGCCGGCGTATCGTGCTGATCTGAAGCCAGGAGCCAGGTACTTATCCTGGTCTCCCATGGGGTGCAAGGCCCCAGCAAGGCTGGCTGGGTCAGAGCTGGGAGCTGGAAACTCAGTCCAGGACTCCCTCACGGCCAGAGCGCAGTTGCTTAAGCCATCATCTCTGCCTTTCTGGGTCTGCATCAGCAGGGACCTGGAGTCAGGAGCTAGGGCAGGGACTTGAACCCAGAGACTTTGATAAGGGGCAAGGGCATCTTAACCACTTGGCTATATGCCCACCCCCAAGCAACCTAATTTTACATAGATGCTATTCAGCCAGTGCAGTTTAATCATTCACTTATAATTAAAAATTCCTTTCCCACTGTTATATTACATAAAAGTTGGTTATATAAAATGTGCTTGGTAATACAATCAACACTCCCTCCTAGCGCCTGAGAAGGAGTTTGCCCCCTGGCTTGTTGAGACGAGTTTCATCCACTTGGACAACCACCACCTCTGCAACAGGTCTGCCCACCTTGGAGCCTGCACCAGTACGGAGGGACCGTAGTGCCAGCATCAAACTCCATGAAGCACCTTCACCCAGGTTAGACAATCTTTCTCCTGAATTTTATCTCTTAGAGAAGTTGCTTACTGAGAGGGAGTAGCAAATTATAGCAGAAGGGAGGTCCGCCCACTGACCAGGATAAGAAAAATTCATGGAAAAACTGAATGAAAAGGTGGTTATTCTGGTGTACAAAATGTTTGAAATCTAGGCATCATTTTTTCTGTAGTGTACATTTTCCATGAGCTTTTTGAAAACCTCTCATATTCATATGCATGGACTTCAAAATTTTGAACCATAATAAAATTAACCTTTAATCCCATTTTTCATGAACATTTTGAAGTACCTGTACCATTGGTTAGAGCCAGCTTTGAACATGGAAAAGGTGTGTGGTTTAAATGCAGAACAATGTAGGGATTAACATTTGGAAAATTAGCTTTAAACTCTATTATGTGGGCTTAAATATAAATGGGCAGCTTGACCTGCCAGTGTAACCTTGAATGAAGAGAGCTGAGCCAGACTAGATTTCACCTACTTTATTATTCATCCTGAGGCCCTTAATCAGACATCCAATCTTACATTTGCAAATAAAGGTAGATTCTGCTGGGCCACTGGATCAGCTGTGCTAACCAGGTAGCAGCAGCAGAAAAGCATATAGAGAAGTAGATCAACATATACCAAGGACTATCATATTGAAGAATACCTGGATAGGTTCAAACGTCTGCTAAATTAAACTTTATTTAGTACATTTGTCTCATTTTTTTTTTTTTTTTTTTTGGACAGGCAGAGTGGACAGTGAGAGAGAGAGACAGAGAGAAAGGTCTTCCTTTGCCGTTGGTTCACCCTCCAATGGCCGCCGCGGCCAGCGCGATGTGGCCGGCGCACCGCGCTGATCCGATGGCAGGAGCCAGGAGCCAGGTGCTTTTCCTGGTCTCCCATGGGGTGCAGGGCCCAAGCACCTGGGCCATCCTCCACTGCACTCCCTGGCCACAGCAGAGGGCTGGCCTGGAAGAGGGGCAACCGGGACAGAATCCGGCGCCCCGACCGGGACTAGAACCCGGTGTGCCGGCGCCGCTAGGCGGAGGATTAGCCTAGTGAGCCGCGGCGCCGGCCCCATTTGTCTCATTTTTACAAAATAACTTAAAATCAAGAAATAACAAAGATAAATAAAATGTAATGTTAATATCCAAAAACAAATTTTGAAGAAAATGCCTACTTAATGAAGTGGGGTTAGATGGAGCTATGAGTTTATCCTTTTCTGTTTTAGAATAATTTAAATAAAATTATTTAAATGAATTAAAATTATGAGGCCATATGATCTAAGATTTTTGAAACACACACACAGATATGTCTCAATTTCATTTAATAACCTGATGAATGACTAATGATCACATCTTTGTTGAATTACAGGATTGCAATACCAACACAATGCGGAGATTGCCTGAGAAATAGAAATCTTTCGATTCAAAATAACTTTTTTAAAGATTTATTTATTTGAGCAGGCGCCGCGGCTCACTAGGCTAATCCTCCGCCTAGCGGCGCCGGCACACCGGGTTCTAGTCCCGGTCGGGGCACCGGATTCTGTCCCGGTTGCCCCTCTTCCAGGCCAGCCCTCTGCTGTGGCCAGGGAGTGCAGTGGAGGATGGCCCAGGTGCTTGGGCCCTGCACCCCATGGGAGACCAGGAAAAGCACCTGGCTCCTGGCTCCTGCCATCGGATCAGCGCGGTGCGCCGGCTGCAGCGCGCTGGCCGCGGCGGCCATTGGAGGGTGAACCAACGGCAAAGGAAGACCTTTCTCTCTGTCTCTCTCTCTCACTGTCCACTCTGCCTGTCAAAAAAAAAAAAAAAAAAAAAAAAAGATTTATTTATTTGAAAGGCAGAGTTGAGGGGGATGGGAAGAGACAGAGACAGAGAGAAAGATCTTCCATCAGCTGGTTCATGCCCCAAATGGCTGCATTAGTGAGGCATGGACCAGACTGAAGCCGGTGTGGCCAGGAGCTTCATCTGGGTCTCCCATGTGGGTAGCAGGGGTCCAAGCACTTGGGTCATGTTCTGCTGATTTCCCAAGCATCTTAGCAGGAAACTGGATCAGAAGTGGAGCAGCCAGGACACGAGCAGGCACCCATATGGGATACTGACATTTCAGGCAGCAGCTTAACCATGCCACAACGCCAGCCCCAATTCAAAATAATTAATTACTGCTGAATGTTCTTGATTTCTTGATGGAAAATGTTTGATTTCTTCCATATTAAGGTTTATATTTTAATCTATAGAATCAGAAACAATATGGAATGATTCTGACAGGTATCAGTGTAATCCGACTCTGTCTTGTAACCTGGACTTTGTGACTCTTCTGCATGCATCACAGGAAAGAATTAAGTCACTGTCTCAAGAATGCTTCCCAGCACTGGGAATTAGAAGACACTGGTGCTATTTTTCTGTAAAAATACTGACTTGCCAATTTCAGCAGCAGCAAACATTGATAAATGGTGGTTAATACTATTATTGTTAAATACTTCTTAAGAAAATGAGTACCATTCTCAGTGTGTATGATTCAAGAGACTATTTGACTAACACCCTTTGCCAAGTTTTCTGCCATTGCATAGCAAATGTTTTGTGATTTTCTTTCCATTAAGTGATTCTACCAAAATCCACTCCTGCTTTCTCAAATATGTCTTCATTCTTTCTATTCTTTGTTACCTCGGGTCACATCTCATTTCCCATCCTCTTCTCTTATTTTAGTTAATTAAATGAAATTGGGAGCCGAAAGTGGAATCATTAGGAAGAAGGTTCCAGGAACATTTATGACCTTAACTCCCAAGGATCCTCCCATTTTGCTTATAAAATGCTCAACCTCAAATATTTTCAGAAGAGATAAGGAATAGCACATGATTCTACTCATTCTCTTTCTCCTAAAAATACTCACAACTGTGTTGCCTTGATATAGTTTTTCCCATTGTCTAATTTATTACCCCTTAATTTCACTGTCCTATAAAGAGCACTGATGGAAAATCTGAAAGTGATATTGCATTTTCAGCCTTATGAGGAAATGAGTAGAATTTGAGACCTCAGGGGTGACCCATATATGAGTACATAATGATGGTACCACCTCTAAATACAGCTAGTTTTGCCCTTGATTTTAAACCAAAGTTAAAATCCTCTTTACTTGGGAGACCTATTGCTAACACTGCTGATTGAATTTTTGCTCTGGAATTTCTTTCCCGCTAGCCCTTTTATTTATTTCTCTCTGTGATTTTCCTGTATTGGGGCTCTAGGAGGACTGCAGTGACCAAATAAAGAACAATGGTGCCAAGTAACAATTTAAAAGGGTGCAGACTTAGACCCTTTGAATATCCAGCTGGGTGACTTACTCCAGGTCATTTGAAGGACAGTCAGGGACACTGGACTGTGAATTGGAATAACCTTAGTCCTTTTACACATTAATGTGTGTTCTGAGTGGAAGTCATTAGCCTGCCTGAGTCAACATGCCCACTACAAGGAATCATTAGGTTGAGAGTACCAAAGGCATAGCTGGAAGAGGTGAATTAGATGGCAGGATACAAGTTGGTGTCTTTTTTTTTAAAAAAAAAAAAAAAAAAAAAAAAAAAAAACCCAAAAAAACAAAAAAAAAAAACAGGCTTTAGAGAAGTTGGAAAGGCTAAAATAAATCACACTAAATAATTCTAAATGAACCTTGGAACAGACCCCTATAAATTTGTATTGTAGGAATAGGCAGTTGTAAACTTGATAAAAGACAATGGTTACTGTAAAACTTTTAGGACTTAGGAAACTTTTAGGAATGGGGAGAATAAGGGTCTAACACCACTTTCGTGAGAAAGGTGGAGCTCTCCCATTGCAGGCCCGTGTACAATTTTTTTCTGCTGTGTCAGCACAAGGGAATTAAGAACAGGTTTCCCTATGCTGATTTCTTCTCTAGTATCCAAGTTACTACATATTTATGAAACTTAACTGGAATCAAGAACTAAGGGTCAATGAAGACCTGAAAATACCGTGAGAATCACACAGTTTATGAGGGAACCTATGACCTGTAATGAGTCTGTGTATATTTATATATAGACAAATAGTAGAAATATTGATATTATATTTTGTTAGTATTATAATACAGTGATATTTATTCCATGAGGAATAGGGTATACATGGTTAGGATTTATTTATTTATCTTGAGTTTGTTAAATTCTCATGCTTCATAGGTACTCTACCATGGAACTTAATAAACCTTTCAAAATGACCATTTTTTTTTAAAGATTTATTTATTTATTTCAAAGAGTTTCAGAGAGGGAAGGAGAGGCAGAGAGAGAGGTCTTTCATCTGTTGGTTCAGTCCCCCAGTTGACTGCAACAGCTGGAGCTGCGCCGATGCGAAGCCAGGAGCCAGGAGCTTCTTCTGGGTCTCCCACATAGGTACAGGGGCCCAAGGACTTGGACCATCTTCTACAGCTTTCCCACACCATAGCAGAGAGCTGGATCAGAAGTGGAGCAGCTGGGACTAGAACTGGTGCCCATATGGGATGTTGACACTGCAGGCAGTGGCTTTACCTGCTATGCCACAGCACCGGCCCCAAAATGAGCATATTTTAAATATTTTATTTGAAAAAAATTGAAGGCAAATAATGAGTTAGCCTTCATAATGTATTCTTTGAGATACTGTATTAAAAATTCAGTTGATGTTAAAGTCTTATCTTTATGAGTCTACATAGAAAAGTAGCAACGTACTGTATAATATATAGAACACTGAAAATATTTAGTTCATTTGCACATTATGTAAAAATTCTTCATTGTAAATCTTATTAGTTAATCAGTCCAGCAAGTGAGTTTAAACAGACTTGCACCATAAGGCAATAGCTGATGTAATTACCTGTCAAATCCAAAGTATCCTTTGATTTTATTATTATCCAAATTTCAGCCATTTGTGAAATACTTATGATGAGATTTTAAAGGACATGAAACAAGTATTTTGTATACCTTTCCTAACTGTATAATTATACACAGTCATGCTGCATTTCATGTGTGTTATTTACGATGTATTTGGTAAACTACCATTAGAAGAAAAAAGATAGTTTTTAAATACTAGGAGGGGCTGGTCGGTGCTGCAGCTCACTAGGCTAATCCTCTGCCTGAGGCGCCGGCACACCGGGTTCTAGTCCTGGTCGGGGCACCGGATTCTGTCCCGGTTGCTCCTCTTCCAGTCCAGCTCTCTGCTGTGGCCCAGGAGTGCAGTGGAGGATGGCCCAAATGCTTGGGCCCTGCACCCCATGGGAGACCAGGAGAAGCACCTGGCTCCTGGCTTCAGAGCAGTGCGGTGCGCCGGCCGCAGCGGCTATCGGAGGGTGAACCAATGGTAAAGGAAGACCTTTCTCTCTGTCTCTCTCTCTCTCTCTCTCACTGTCCACTCTGCCTGTCTATATATATATATATATATATATATATATATATACACACACACACACACACACACACATATATACACACACATACATACATACATACTAGGAGAGGCTGACACTGTGGAATATTGTGTAAAGTCACCTCCTGCTGAGCCAGCATTCCCATATGGGCACCTGGCTTCAAGTCCCAACTACTCAACTTCTGATCCAGCTCTCTGCTCTGGCCTGAGAAAGCAGAAGATGACCCAAGTCCTTAGGCCCCTGCACCCACAGGGGAGGCCCAGAGGAAGCTCCTGACTCCTGGCTTCAAATCGACCCAGCTCTGGCTGTTGGGACCACTTAGGGAGTGAACCAGCGGATGGATGACCTCTCTCTCTCTGCCTCTGCCTCTGCCTCTCTAATTCTGCCTTTAAAATAAATAAATAAGTCTTTTTTAAAAATAAACAAATACAAGGATCCTGGATAAAAGAAAAATCTCTTTATAAATGAAATAAGGAAAAAATGGAATGATGCAAATGTCAGCATGTTGTATCAGTCTCAAAAAAAAAAATTACGCACCGCCTCTATTGCCTGGTATATCAATAATCAAAGGTCCCAGGCAGCAGTAAGTACATCTTCTGCATTCTTCCCTTTGAGAGATCCAAGACTGTTGGTGCAGTTCCCCAAAAGTACTTTGGTTCCTCATTAGCACGTGTACTGGTTTGTATTTTGGATGTGAAATTCTTAGCAGTGCCTGCATATTGCTCACCCCAAAAATGCCATTTTGGTTACAGACTCTCTCAAAATTATTCCCCATTAATTATACAGCCTTTACAACAATCTCCATACATCTATGACCCCATAATTCCATCAATTTCAGGTTCATTTACGATAAAACATCCAGACAGATCACGCACATTGTGCTTATATTGCCAAGATTAGGTTGAAAGAAGATCAAATTGTCAAATTATATTGATGAAAATTACCTTTTTTTTACTCAGTACCAAATTTGCTTTTGCTTAAAAGGCATTATCAGGGGCCAATGCTATGATGCAGCAGGTTAACGCCCTGGCCTGAAGCGCTGGCATCCCATATGGGCCTGGTTCGAGACCCGGCTGCTCTACTTCCAATCCAGCTCTCTGCTATGGCCTGGGAAAGCAGTAGAAGATGGCCCAAGTCCTTGGGCCCCTGAGCCTTCATGGGAGACCCTGAAGAAGATCCTGGCTCCTGGCTTCAGATTGGCTCAGCTCTGGCTGTTGCAGCCAATTGGGGAGTGATCCATTGGATGGAAGACCTCTCTCTCTCTCTCTCTGCCTCTCCTCTCTCTCTGTGTAACTCTGACTTTCAAATAAATAAATAAATCTTTTAAAAAAAGGCATTATCAAAATGCAGGCCAAATGTTTTCCTCTTGGAGCAGTACAAAATTGTCAACTTACTAAATTCTTTTCTCTCTCACATTAGGATGAATTCTGTTTTAAAATTAACATGGAGTGCTCGCTTCAGCAGCACATATACTAAAAATAACATGGAATGTTTTGAACAATACACACAGAGATGTTTCAGTTTGTAAAGCCTTCAGGATTTATTTCCTATTAATTATATGGCTTACATTATATTCTCTAGCTCAGCCCTTCATAGATCTATTAATTGTAGATTTACTTACAGTAAGCAACCTATAGACCCCCAAGTATGAGAGTACTTCAGAAAGTCTGTAGGAAATGAAATTAAAAGATAATTCACATTTTCAGTTAGCATTTTGATGACCCCTATACATTGTAGTAAATATTCTCTCAGTGAAGTCTCCCCATGACATCTTCCATCTTCGTAAGTACCATCAGCATGGCTGGCATCAAGTCCATCACTATCGTGTGTACAAGTGGATTCGGCTGACCAGTCACCATCTTTCTGGAGGATCACTGACAAACAGAAATCATCAGATTAAGGCCTGCTGCTAACCTTTTCCTTCAGAAGAAAATAGTGTGAAAAGTAGATCTTCGAATGATTTTATAAGCGTTTTAAGTTTTAGATGTAGATGCATGAAGAATAATAAGTGCTAAAGAGCCCTGAAGTAAATACTAGGACATGTATAGCTCTTGTAGGTTCACCTGCATCTTAGGCAGGTGATCTGCTTAGTTTAGAAAATGTGTGAGGAGCATGAGTCTCAGAGGATACATCAGAAAGTTCATGAGAAATGGAATTGAGGCATGGGCTTTTAGCACAGGGGTTAGGTTGCTTTTTGGCATGCTTACATCCCATGCTGGAGGGCCTGGTTCTACTTCTGGCTACTCTGCTTTCAATCCAGTTTCCTACTGTGCACCCTAAGAAGTAGCAGACAACAGCTCAAGTACTGGGGTCCCTGCTACTCACCAAAGCGTCCTCAATTGAGATCCGAGCTCCCGGCTTCAGCCTGACCCAGCCCTGGCTGTTATGGGTGAACTAAGATGGAGAATCTCTCTTCTCTCTGTCTCTCCCTCTTTCAAATAAAATGAAAACAAAATAAATAAAAATTGGGGGGAAAGTTTAAAATTGGATGAAAAGATGTTTATTTCCTTGCAACAAATTTAGAAAACCACACAAATTCTCATGTTTTCCATGAGCTTTTTGCAGATCTGTTGTACATATGGTTTTAAAAAAATTTTGTACCAAAATCAACTGATCTTTCCATTTTTCCTTGAGCATTTGGAAGAACACTTGTAGAAGGAGAATGAGACGGTTGATTCTTAGAGTTGGATAAATAAGAAATTTGTGTTTTCTCTTTTGTTAGCCCAGTATGTATGATGAGTGACAGTATCCCTGCCACAGAAATTGAGCTTGGATGACCTATTTTGTCATCTGCTAGTGAAGAGGTTTTGTCATTGAACCTGTACCAATACTCAGACTGACAAGTCCGTTATGGGAAGGATGGTTTTATTCTGGCAGTATCTGCCCCAACAGTGGGTGAATAATGTCCTCATTTGTCTTTGAATCCTGTCATTACAGTGCTGTTAGTCCTGATTCTTGGAATAACCCCATGATGATGACCCTCACCAAAAGCAGATCCTTCTCTTCATCCTATGCTGTTTCTGCCGCTAACCATGTAAAGGTTAAGAAGCAGAATCGACCAGGTAAGTGACTTCCTGGAGGAAGTGTTCATGTCCTGTGCACCATGCAGTGACCAAACCTTCAGTGTTGAAATGTCCTAAGGGTGCTCTATACTCACATACCTTAGGGTTCGTTGTTCGAAAAATAAGAAGTTTCAGTAACCAATTAGTTATTTAAATTTCTACTTTATATGATGATAAAGGTTCTTTCAAGGTTGTTATACCAGGTTTCCTATCTTAAATTTATTCAACGAACAGGAAATTAGTGTCATAATTAAGGATAATTTTAGAAGCATCATCTTAAAAATTTCAAGTTTAGTTTTAGTGTCTGTTTTAAGAAGTTGATATCGCCAGTGCCGCGGCTCTATAGGCTAATCCTCTGCCTGCGGTGCCAGCACACTGGGTTCTAGTCCCAGTCGGGGTGCTGGATTCTGTCCCAATCGCTCCTCTTCCTGTCCAGCTCTCTGCTATGGCCTGGGAGTGCAGTGGAGGATGACCCAGGTCCTTGGGCCCTGTACCTGCATGGGAGACCAGGAGAAGCACCTGGCTCCTGGCTTCGGATCAGCACAGTGCGCCAGCCGCAGCGTGCCGGCCGCAGCAGCCATTGGGGGGTGAACCAACGGAAAAGGAAGACCTCTCTCTCTGTCTTTCTCTGTCCACTCTGCCTGTCAAAAAAAAAAAAAAGAGGTTGATATCTATATGAGTTTGAGGAAAAGTTTTACTATACTCTCATGGGCTTTTCAGCCATGAGAGTATTTCAGGCATGGAAAGCCAAGACACTCTGGCAAAAGATCTCTGTGAGTGAGATCCCAGTGGAAAGAACAGGTCATCAAAGAAGGAGGTACCTTTCTCTGAAGGGAGGAGAGAACCTCCACTTTGACTATGACCTTGTCTAAACAAGATAAGAGTCGGAGAACTCAGAGGGCTTCCATAGCCTTGGAAACTCATGACTGGAGCATAGGGAGATTACTGATGCCATAGACAGGAGTGTCAATTGGTAAAGTCAACAACAGGAGTCACTGTGCACTTACTCCTCATGTAGGATCTCTGTCCTTAATGTGCTGTGCATTGAGATTTAATGCTATAACGAGTACTCAAACAATATATTTCACTTTGTGTTTCTATGGGGGTGCAAACTGTTGAAATCCTTACTTAATGCATACTAAACTGATCCTCTGTAAAAAAAAAAAAAAAAAGAAATTATCAATTCCCAACTTGACTCTCACTGGGATTAAACATGACAATAGGTCTGATCTGATTTCATCATCATTTAAAAAAATCATCTATTATTTTTCACTTTATGTTTCTGTGTGGGAGCAAACTGTTGAAATCCATACTTAATGTATACTAAGCTGATCTTCTGTATATTAAGATAATCGAAAATGAATCTTGATGTGAATGGAAGGGGAGAGGGAGTGGGAAAGGGGAGGATTGTGGGTGGGAGGGACGGTATGGGGGGGAAGCCATTGTAATCCATAAGTCGTACTTTGGAAATTTATATTCATTAAATAAAAGTTTAAAAAAAAAAGAAAAGTTTTATTATAGATTATCTGCAACAAGTAATCCTGATGTCAACATTAACAACAAAGTTTTAGGTAAAATGAACTGATTTGGTGGAAGATTTCTTTGATGAGGGTCTCAGATACAGTTTTTGTTAAATTCTGTCACTTAATTGCTCTTCTAAAATCCCAACTGACAGCCTGGGATTTTTTTTTTTTTTTTGGTCACTTCTTGAAAGCATTAACTTCAAAGTTTTACTTCTCAGCATTGTAGGAAACTTTCATGAGGTTTTTAGCTATTTCCTGCTTAGTTTATTCATCCTCTTTTTGAGCAGTTTAAGAATTCACCAAACAGCTCTTGGGGAAAAGCTACCCCCTTTGCACTGAGATATGAGACATTCGAGTGCTGGCTGCCATGGCAGCCCCAGACTCCAACTGTTGTATCATCAGCCTCGTGACATTGCTAAAAGCTCTACTGGCTTGCCTCCCTGATAGCTGCACCCTTCGGCTGGATGTGAGGCCTCCTGTCCATGCCAATAGTCAGTAAATAATGCTCTGAAGGGAAGAACACTTGGCAGGATTTAGGCTCACCCTTCTGAGGTTCTCTTCTGCCTGGGAACTTGGTCCCTAAGAAGTGGGTGGTTTGCTTTGGTAGCATTTTCCTATTTTTGACCTCAGCTTTTCTATTTGTTCTCAGAGAATCATGGGGTTACTACAGGCTAACTGCAGCAGAGCCTCTACTTCTACAGGTAGAAGTCCTCATAATGGCAATGCTTATGTTTTACTCCCCCAGATGCCAGCAGCAGCTGAGGTTGGGCCCAGCCAAAGCTAGGAACTGGGAGCTCCAACGAGGTCTCCCATGTGAGTGGGGGACTCTGCTACACAGCCGGAATGTGCATTAGCAGGAATCTGGAATGGAGAGTGGATCCAGGACTTGAACCAAAGTGCTTGGATACAGGATATGAGCATCCCAAGCGGGAGTTTAACAGCTGTGTCAAACACCCATCCTGAAATATAAACTTAATTTTCAGGGATCCAATTTAAGGAAAGATTTCTGCTGTTTCTTTCATCATGAAAAGGAAACATAAAACTTTCTTTAATTATGCACATTATACTGGATATTCCTTGAAACTGTCACCTCCTTTGCGTAAATCTCTACTCTTCAGTTCAGGAAGACATTTCCTCCAAAAAATACAGTTCTATTAAAATTACATCACTGAAATAAACTCTTGGTAATCTGGTTTTCCAGCAACACATCTGAACTTCTCTGCTCTTTAGAGACGTTCATTACACTTTAAAACACAGAAGTCATTAATGACCCTGAAATAGAACTGAATTTTCACTAGCGCCAGGCAATGCAGAATAATGGAAGCAAACGCTTCAACTGAGATTGCCCTGTGGGCAAATACAGATTATCCCAGTAATACAGAGACTCATCTGTAACTTCAGCAAGGTGGAAGAACTGAATTTGATAATTCCACATTAAACCCAAGGCTCTTAAAGGCCACTGTGATGGTCCTGGGTCTGTAGAATTCCTTGGCTCTCTACAAAATTACATGCCATGAATTTTTGAAGGAAAGCATCACCAGTTAAAGGTCATGGGATTTTAACAGATTAAATACAGAGCATCCAAGCATGAGCTGTAAACACGCTGGAAAACACTGTTCCAATCAACAGGAACAACAAAATGGTTTTAGATCTCTAGAAAGGTTGAGATATTTCAATGTAAATACTTAACTGTGTTATTTAATTTTAATATTTACATGTTTATAGGAAAAAACATGATTATGAAACCAATAGCAATGAGAAAAGGCATAATAACAGAGAAGCTGAATCTAACTTTTGGTCTTATAATCAAGGATAGGTGATAGGTTAAATGTCAGCATAGACCACTAAAGAGAAAGAGAGTAAACTCAACAGAAGAGAATATGAAGAAATTATCCAGAAGGCTACAAGGTGAGAAATTGTAAAATAAAAATGATTTTCAGAGAGCTAGCCTTGTGGCACAGTGGTTAATCTGCCACTTGTGACACTGACATCCCATATTGGAATTTTGGGTTTGAGTCCTAGCTGATCCCTCCATACATCTCCCTGCAAATGTGCCTGGGAAGGCAACAGAAGATGGTCCAAGTACTTAGGCCTCTGCCACTCAGCTCTGGAGACCTGCATGGAATTCCAGGTTCCTGGCTTCAGACTGGCCTAGACCTCGCTGTTGCAGCCATTTGAGAAGTAAACCAGGGGGTTTAATATCTCTCTGTCTCACTCTCACTCTTGGCCCTCTGTCACTTTCAAATCTTAAAATAATTTTTTTAGAGGTATAAGACAAGGAATCAGAAGTCTAATATATATCATCATACATTTAGTAGAAGATGAGAGCATAAAATATTTGCAGAGAAGCAGAATAAATGCAAAGAAACTTACATGTGGGGCTGGCGCGGTGGCATAGCCATTGAGGCTGCCCATCAGTGGAGTCAGCATCCCATATGGGCGCTGGTTCAAGTCCCAGCTGCTCCACTTCCAATCCAGCTCTCTACTGTGGCCTGGGAAAGCAGTGGAGGATGGCCCAGGTGCTTGGGACCCTGTACCTGTGTGGGAGACCCAGAAGAAGCTCCTGGCTTCAAATCAGACTAGCTCTAGCCATCCAGCCAACTGGGGAGTGAACCAGTGCATGGAGGACCTCTCTATCTCTACCTCTCCTTCTCTCTCTTTGTAACTCTTTCACATAAAATAAATAAATCTTTAAAAAAAAGAAGAAACTCACCCATCACAAAATGGTGAAACTACCCAACAACCAAAACAAAAAAATATTCTGTGGGTCAGCCAGAGAAAAGACAAGTTACCTTTTCATCAAAGGAAATCAGTCTGAGAGCAAAATTGTCAGAACATGGATTGTCTTCAACATTCTGAGAGAATATAATAAATCAACCTAAAATTGTATACTTGGAAAATCCAGCAGAAATAGGAGTGACATTTTGAGTGACGTCAACACTTTTCTACCTACCTCATCTTCACCAAAGGAATATGTAATGGAAATATTAAAGAAGATATCAGAAAGTCAAGAATCTAATAGTAGTGGTAAACAAGTTGGAGTACCATGGGACAATCCAAATAAACCTGATTGTATAAGTAATACAATTTCCAGATTTATGGGTAGTTTTTCAAGGCATTTTTTTTCAAGACAGAATTAAAATACCTGACAATGAAATGTTCCTCAAGAAATGAAATTTAAAATTACCCTTGAGCAGGTCACGAAGTTGGTTCAGATGAGGAAACTGAGGCATGAGTCCCCAATCTTCTTTTTTCCTAGTGATTTCATACTGGGAAAAAAAGTTGATAATGGCAAATTGGCACAGTTTGTATTGGGATTTTTTTGTTTTGTCGTTGCCTGAGTGCAAGAAAATAGGAGGATTGGTTCTTTTTCTCTCTATTGCTCTCTTTAGTTAAGTAATCAAATAAAAAATTAAAGTCAAGAAGCTGAAACTGGGGCCAGCACCATGGCGTAGTAGGTTAATCCTCCACCTGCCG